TCAGCCTGAGCTTCTCATGCTCCGCCTTCAGGAAGAAGTCCACGAACAGGCTCTTCTCCCGCTTGATCTGGTCGCTGATGTCGGTAGGGATGTCCGGGATCATCCAGTCCACGAGGACACTCAGGAACATCACCAGGTTCTGTGCGAGCCGGGGTGGGAGAGAGGGGGTGAGGGGGGGAGGCCGAGTCGCTCCACTGCCCAGGGTGGGGGCCGGGGGGGCTGGCGGAGGGGGCGTGGTGAGCAGCCCAGACCCCCAGACCCAGGGCGCAGAGGGCCCCTGTGTCGCCCTGACTCCTCTGTCGACTGGCGGGGATCCCGGCCGAGGCGTGGCACTGTCCCTCGGGGTCCCCGTGTGAAAGTGGAGTAGGGACAGCGTCCACCTCCTGGAGCCCCGCTCCTGCACGGGCTGACAGTGGCTTCTTGCCCTCCTCCATGCCCCCAGACGTCCTGCTCTTGCCCCCAGGCCCCAGATCGTCCAGAGGAGTGGCTGTGAGTCCTGGCAGTCCCCCCGGGGCTCTCCCTGGGCCAGCTGCCCCCTCTTCCTCCCAGCTGACCCTCCGCCCCCACATCCGAGGTGGGCCTGTGGTTTCTGCACTGAATTCTGGCCTCAGCCGGCCCCACGTTCACCATCACAGCCTCTCTGGTCACACCGCCTGCCTGGGCCCTGCGCCCTGCCCGCCTCCATGGGTTCTGAGCTTTCGCGCACACCTGGAACTGGCTCCCTTCTCCCTGCTGAGCCACATCCCCTCCCCTGTAGACACGTGTGGGAGCATTTCTATTTAAGTGGGTGAAGATGTTCTGATGGTGCCAGCCTGGCCCACGGAAGGCCAGCTCCCTTTACGCTCTGGTTCCCAATCCTTCCGCAGGGCACCCCTCGCCCCCCAGCTCTGGTCTTCTCTGCCTGCCCATCGTATGCTCAGGCGCTCCCTCCCCTCCAGCGAACAGTGACGGCCCTGAGGAGACAGAGCACTGCCATCCTCTAGTCCTCCAGGCTCTAAACCTGTCCCCTGCTTGACCTTGAACCCTGCACGGCCCTGGTGCCCAGGGAAGGCCTGGGGAGACAGTGGCTGCTCACACAGGGTCCCGAGTGCCTTAGGAGACCTGCAGCTGTTAAGCCACACACTTGCGTTTTAAACCGAGTCCTCCCGGGAGTGAAAGTGACCTGGGACGCAGGGCAGAGTGCGGGCGGGGCCGCCGGGGGACGTGTGAGCTTTGCTCACGGTGTCGCCCGTCTCTCCGAGAAAGAATGCCCGTCCTCTCCGTGTGAAAGACGAGCTGGGGGGCTTGTCCACTTCCGGGGCCAGGACACCTTAGAGCCTTCAGGGGCCTGGGGAGCCGACGGGAAAGGATCCGGGCTGGACCAGCCCCGGGGGAAGGCCGGCAGGCCCCCGGTGGGAGCAGGGGCCGTGCGCTCGGACAACCCGAGCGAGGCAACGGTAGCCGCGGCTACTGTGGGAGACGGAGTCCCGGCTCGGGTTTGCTATTCAGCGGGGGCGGCCGGATGGCTCCGGGGCCTTTCCCAGCAGGCGTCCCAGGGGCTAAAACAACGCAACAGAAGAGGGGGCCAGTGGAGGGGGAAGGAAGGGTCAGAACGCAAGCCCTTTCTTGGGCGGCAAAGTCCAGGAGGGGCTGCTTGTCTGCATTTAGGCCGAGACTCTGGTCCCCCCCCAACTCTTCCTTGTCTTCGGTTTAAACGGGAATGATTGCCACCCTGCCACTGGCTGCACATCTGCCCTGTAACCCGACTCTGAGCTTCCTGCTCTTTCTGCAAACCCAGCCATTAACGAGGGCCTCGTCCAGGGCAGGGGCTCTCCCCGCAGCCTGCCGCCCCCGAAGGAAGGCCCTGAAAACCCGCAGACCTGGCCGTCTGCACCCCACAGCCTGGATCCTAACCGGCCCTGCCTTGTCTGAACAACTCACCTGGAAGATGATGACAAAAGCCAGACGGGCAGACAAAACAGACCAGTACTGTTTGGAAAACTCATACGGGTTCGGGGCCCAGGGCGGCTCCCGGTAATCCTTAAACCTGCCCAGAGAGAAAGGCGACGTTAAGACGGGAGGAGATGAGGGAAAGGGGGCCTTTTCCGGGTGTGACCTCAGAGGTCAAAGCAGCAGGCAGGCCCCTGGCTCTCAGAACTGGGGAACAGGGGACAGAGGCAGGAATCCCCGCTCCAGCCTGCGATGTCCAACAAAGCACCGAAGTCCAAACCAAGCCCACATCAGCCCAGAGATGTCCTTCCTACTGTCTCTCCAACACCCGCAGAAGCTTCCTTTGGAGTTTCCTTCCGGAGGGGCCCAAGAATCATGAGAGCATCCCAGGACGGTGGACCCATCTCGGCTCCACCAGCCCGTGGGCTCTGAGAGGGGAGGGGGGACCCCCAGACGCCGTGTCCGTGCTCTGCAGTCTGTGGGCTCAGTGAGGGTACGGATGCCAGCAGACGGTCCCGGCATCTTCCCCAGACGGCTGCTTTGGGGCCACGGCCATGAGAGGGGCTGGCCTTAGTTCATGGCCAATTCAGACCAAGCTGAAGGCTGACGGAACTTGGGGAGGGAGGCGGTGACAGCCACAGTTGGCCAGTAGCCTCTTTTACTAACCGTCTTTACCATCCATCCATGTAGCTTAAGAAACTGGTGCCTGGTGGGGGCTCAGACCACGGAGCTGTCTAGGCCTGCTTCTCGCTGCTGCCTTCCCCCCAGCCTCCCGCCCTTCCTGGGATGACTCATGTTAAAAAATGGTTTATTTTCTCAGACTCACTTTTTTTACTAAGCCTGGAAAAATGACAAGAGCTGGTACCAGAAGAATTACGCCCTGTCACGGAACTGTTTTCCCCATGGAGTTCAACATCAACACATCTTTGATGCACTGGAACAGCAAAACAAGGCCTGGGCTGGAGCAAGGGCAGCGGTGGCACTGGGCCGCCAAGCGGGCTGCGCGGCTGCCCAGGAAGGCGGGGGGTAGGGACTCGGTCCCCGAAGGGGCCAGGAAGAAAAACCAGCATATGCTGCAGGCGCCGTGCGCGTCCATCCCCGAGCACGGAGCTTTTCTGGAGGGCGTCTCATTGAACCTTCACCACATCTCACGCTGGCATGGAGAGCCCTGTGTCACCCAGGAGGAAACTGAGGCTCCGAGAAGCAAGGGATGGAGTCCAGGTGAGAATCCAAGTCTGGCTGAATTCGGGCTTTTCTCCTACTGGCATAAAGCTCCTCGCTGCCAGCTGCAGTTCGGGGTGGGGGACTCGGAAGCGGGTGCTCTCCGTCCCTCCCCTGCCCCGAATGAACCCGCTGCTCTAAAAGATCTGTGTAGGAGCACGAGGACTTCCAACTGCCCAAGAGGAGATGAGAGAAGAAGAGGGAAAGAAAGAGGAAGACGAAAAGAGACGCACAGAAAAAGACAGAGCCCCAGCTGCAGAGGCAGCCGCAGAAGGAGGTGACCCAAGAGGTGGGCGCCGAGCCTTCGACTAGGGCTGGGCAAGGGGCCAGGGGCTGCCCCCTCCCCACCCGACCCTCCTCTTCCAACAGCTGATCGCAGCTGTTGCAGGCTTGGTTTGACATCCGGATGAAAAGCAAAGCTAACGGCAGCCCAGCACAACAGCACAGGATTGGTCCCAGCCATCCACGGCTGAGGACAGAAACACGCCAGCTCCAGATCACACGGCTGCGGGGAGGGAGGGAGGGTGCGGCCAAGGGAACACGGACATCCTGGGTGGGAAAAAACTCAGGCCCCCCCCACCCTCCTGCTGTCCCCCCCAAACCCCAGGGCAGGAGGGAATTTATCTCACTTTTCTCAGGACATCTGGAGGAGGGGGTGAGGCACACACGCACCCCGACTCCTGACTGTGGGGAAATCCTCCCCCAGGTCTAGCCCAAACCCTGCTGCTGCGGTCAAGTCCCTCTCTCTGGTCCTCCAGCTCCATCGATGGAGGAACAGCTGCTCCCTGACCTCAGGATGACAGATGCTGCTCACCCCTCTTTTTTCCCAGTCTGCAAAGAATCCATAAATAATCTAATTCTGGTCCACTTCTGATACTAACTCACCACAGCTTTTGGAAATGTCACTTTGCCCTCCCTGAGTGTCCAAAACATGTTTTGAATTTAGCAGGCACGTCCATCTAATCCACGATCTGGGGAAAGATTAACACACAGATACGTCCAGCAAGGTCGACCTGCAACCCCACTCTGCCAACGCACTAAGGGAGCCTTGTCAGGAACTACAGGGCAAGTTATGCCCGGAAAACAGCAACACACAATTTAATGAATGCTGCGTCTGTTCACATTTCTCTTCCCAAGGCAAACTCTTTAAGAGCAGTGGCCAGCTGTAAGCAATGCCTTTCACGTTCATGCACACATACATATACATCATGGAAACAAAAATTACCCCACATCTACTTATTTTTGCTGTGTGCAGTGCACTGTTTTCTCCTATCCTCGTCTTTGAAACGCTGATCATGACCCACGAAAGTGACTTTCTAAGCCACCGACGAGCTGTGATACGCAGTTTGAAAAACACCGATTCCAGAAAGCCTCTGCCCCTTTGAGGAGTGGCTCGCGTACAGTCTAACCTAAGTTCAGATTTCGTGATCGTTGGAAGGTTTCATCCTAAGAAACCAGAAGGCACTTATTAAACAAAGAGATCATTAGTTTTAACACTAGAAATGTCCACATAAGACAGGGTGGTTAACGGACTTGTGTCCGGCGTGGGGACAGCCGTCTGTCTATTTTGCTTCTAAGCCCAGTGCACAGCGTCGGCAAAGGCGCGGGCTTTGGAGGCAGCAGGTGAAGGCCTGACCCCACCCCCAGCATCTCTGTTCTGTGTCCTCCAGCAGCAAGTCACCAGCCCTCTGAGGGCCAGGGTCTTGACTGTTAGGGGAAGACACAGTGAGAATTAAATAAGGCAGCTCGTGTGAGTGTGATTTCTGGAGGCTTCCACAGAAAATGGTTTCTTCTGGGAGAGAATGACTGGGGTGGGGGCTGAGAAGACAGTCCTCCCCTTTTGTATGTACGTCTATACACACATACACATACAGAGAGAGAGTTTTATAATTAAAAAGTTCATAATTTCAAAAGAAGAATGCATCTAAATGGCAATATTCAGTTAAGCCAAAATTATTTTTATACGAAGCATCCAGGAGCAAAATGAGAGTGTTCAGTGAGACAATCAGTGGAAGTGGTCCAGAAGTCAACGTGACAGCTTAGCTGCCAAGTCGCGTTAATCTTTTACCTGGCTTTTCTTATAGTTACTAAGATGTTACCGCTGGGGGAAACTGGGTGAAGAGCACACGGGGCCTCTTTGTGCTTCTTTTCAAACTTACTGTGAATCTACAATTATTCCAAAATAAAACAGTAATTAAAAAAGAAATCTTGCAAAAAATTTTTTTACCTAGCCTGTTCTAACACTGTGAAATAATCACATTGAGTTGAAATTACACATTATGTAAAGAAATAAGATTCCTATTAGCTCAAAATATTTTTCATTATTATAAAACAAACCCAGGAGACTACATCTTAAAGGTTCCGTAAGTTCATTTTTATGTGAAAGCACGGGGAAGATGTCTGAGGAAGACCCACCACGATGTGGCGACTGCTGGGAACGTGCCCGAGGCTGCGCAGGGCTGGGCGGAGGTGGGACAGAGTTGGAGAGGCTGCCGGTAACACTTAGAATTTTTGCAGAAATAAATTAGTGATATATGACATGTGTCATTGACTATTAATTATTTAAAAATAAGTAGAAAAGAATTTTTGGAGATTGTTTATTCCACATCCCCATTTCACAGACGGGGAAACTGAGATGTGGAGAGGGAAGGGAGACTCCCGGCTCCGATGTTCCCCTCCCATCCTCACCTGCAGGGTGACCAGGGACAGTGGCACCTGCACGATTTGTCACAACACAGCATCACTGAGGGCAGGAAGGTGTCGACATAGCAAGCTGAGATCATCAACATTTGGGGATGGAGTGTTTTAAATCATGTTTTAGCTACATTATCAACCAGTTAGTAAATGCCTCTCTCAACTCAAAACAGCAGTATATAAAACTTTTTTCATAGTCCCAATGGAAAGTAATGTCATATTAATGCCGAAGACAATTGCATACAGTATTTTCATATCTTCTGAGCTACTTGAACATGCCTTCTGAAACCGGCCTTTAACAAGGGAAAACGGCACAGGCGATTAGGAACTAATGAGGACCATATTAATACAGTGGTTAATAAGTTCGGGACAGGCACAGCCTGGGGAAGCTGGGTCTCCCTCTGGTCTCAGCGAGGAGCAGCTGAGAGGCAGCCAGACACTGCAAGGGAACTCACAGGACTTTGGATAGGAAAGAACTTGGGCCCTGCAGAAAAACCCACAGGGGCCACCCAAGGGTGCTGTTTCAGTGGGTTGCCCGAGCCCGGGCGGGCTCCTTCAGCTATGGGGCCCAGGTCCCCAGCCAGACCCCGCCCTGCTGGCCTCCCCACTCCCCTCCAGCTGAGCCAGGAGCCTGAGCCACCATCCAGCCTGCAGGACACGGTGGCCCCTCGACCCCGTCAAATGACCTCTCATCATGCCTGCAGACTGACGTCACGGCGCAGCCCTGCCGGAGCAGCTCGATGGCAGAGGCAGACTTCGCTCCAAAAGCGCGGGGAATGCATCGCCAACGGGCAGCCAGAGACTCGTCCTGACTTTTACTGCTATTTTTAAGATACCTCTCTCTGGCGAGGCCAGGCTGGAGCCCGAGACCTCAGTTTTATTTGACCACATTTATCTCCAGAGGTCACTGAAAGCTAAGAATAAGAAGGGTCATGGAGTTCCCAACACTGTTTGCCAGAAAATCAGGGCGAACTTTTCATTTCCCACCATGGAAGCAGTTCTGAACGCTGGCTCTGGGGCTCGTTCTAGTGCTGTCCGTGTTTCTCTCCATCTCTCCCACTCCTGCAGTCCCATTCTCAATACCTCCCTCTCTCTTTTTCTCTCTTTTCCCCCCACCCTCCACTTCTATTTATAACCACCATTGGCAATTCTTGGCTTACAAAGACATCAGTACTTCATGCCTCTGCTTCCCAAATTTCGAGAGAATTTGGTGCGCCAGACAGGTTCACACGCCACCCAGTGACTAGGACCCACCTGGGGCAGAGATATCCATCATCAAACCTTACCCACCTAGGGAAGGCAGCCCCCAGAGCGTACAGACTTAAGACGCCACAGCCAGGTGGTACGCTGACCCCGTTCTCTTGACTTCAGCTTACACTTCAGGGTAGGGCAGCTCTTTACTGAAAACGTAACCCAGTAAGAGCGGGGAGGGTCTAGCTCAGTGGTAGGCTGCATGCTTCACATGCACGAGGTCCTAGGTTCAATCCCCAGTATCCCCTCCAAGAACTCTAACCCTCAACTTTCAACATGGGGGCCATTAAAGCCCCACTGTGTTTAAGTCAGTTTAAGCCACTGATAGATCTGGAAAGCATACTCATAGTATTACTGGAAGATCTGATGGTCAAGGGCAAGGTCAGAGCCCCCTGGTGCTCTGGACAGACACGTGCTTCTAGACCAGCTAAAGAAACTGCTAGCCTTGCTCCCCGACCTGCCAAGGCACACTCGTGCCGCTCCCCGCAGTGCGTAGGGGTCGAAGCCTGTGTCCTTGGATAGATGTGAGCTTTAGTTCAAGATCTGTCCCTGGAAACCACTGTCATCTTTCTAAGTTGAAGTTCCTTTTTATGTAGAATGAGCAGTATCCGCAAGACGATTTCTGTACGTCTCACCTCCCAGTGCCCCTCGGTTTAACGTGAAGGTGTGGGCTGACTTCACGCACCCTGCTGGAGTAGGTTTAGATGCTGCCAGAAAAGGCCTCCAGCTGGTCCAGACCCTGTGTCCAGTGGATCTGCAGACCGACGTCCAGCACGCGGACAGACAGCCTGGCACGCCAGCAGTGCCCCCGGGGCAGGGCAGGGGGTAGCAAATCCGCCTGCACATGACTGAAGTCCAAGAGTTAGACTCTCTAAAGCCCCAAGATGCAAAAATGCCAGAAACCTCTTGGCTATATAAATCAATATCTATGAATAAATGGATCATCTGTTCTTGGATTTGACCCTGATCTTGAGCCTTTCTGGTTGGCTAGAGTTAAACCCTAAAGTTACCGCTCCTGGGACCAGAACACCCTTCTATTTAAATCACATATGGGGAAGGCTGTTTAACTCAGTCATCGGGGTTGGGAAGACCAAACCGGTTCCTCCCTTGTGTGGTCTCAGACTGAGTCTGAGCATATGCAGCCACCCCACAAACACCTGCCTTTGGGCACCGAGGTGTCCCCGCTGGGGAGGCGTGAAGACACGCCCAGGGCCCTCGCGGCTGCAAACACAGCCGGGCACTTCGGCGGCGGCGGCGGCGGCGCCGGCAGCTTCTACATCAGACACTCTTGGGGCCGACAGTTCGAGCAAGCCCCCCACTGGCCCTTCAATACATTGCTCCAGGTTTTGGCTTCTGTTGTGTCACTGTTCTTTTTTTTAAATATATGAGATCTGATCTTTGATCAAGTCCTTTGGGGGGACTATCCCGTAACCAAGGTACAAAAAGGTTAAAGCATTTATTCTCCTCTGCTCGTCTTCTTTTTATGTGCCCAGCTCGGGAGTGTTTTCTGTTTCTTGGCTTCAATGACCCCCTGGGCTGACGGACTGCAGTCATGACCCTAACCTGGTCGCCTCAGGAATTCCTGCTCCTCTCTCTGCGACTTAGGTGGAAACTGCCCCTTAGGTTTCCTACCATCATTTCAAATGCAACGTAATTAAACTCAAATTCACTATATGTGCTGTAAAATCAGATTCTATTCGCATTTTCTCGGAACTGTCAACGGACCCATGATTTCTCAGTTCTCTGACTTTGGTCCAAACTTGGGAGATATCACTGACTCAGACTCTCTCTTACATCTCTTGTCCCTGGCTCCGTAACATATTCTATTAAACAGCTCATCTCTCTGTGTCTTAACTCCTTCCACCACTCTCCTACCATGGTTTGCAGGTGAAGGATGTAGCATCCCAGCTGCTCCCCTTTAGTTCTCCCAATTCTAGTCCACTTTCCTCTCTGAGACCAGATTAATTTTCCTAAGCCTACACTTTCTCCTCTAATTCCCTGGCCCTAAAAAGGTCAGTTTCTTCCTATTGCATCACATTAAAATTCCTGTAAGATTGCAAGACTTCCCATTAGCTACTTCATCCTACCTGTCAAGTTCAACACTGCTCTAGCTTACACGACTCCAGGAGTTTCTCTAATCTTCTATTTCCTCTGTCATTATCTCCCCAGCACTCCCCTTGCGGACCACGTCGTCCAGCTCCTGAGGGTTTACCTAACGTCCCCAGGTCATCCCCATGTCCACGACCTGGCCCACGCCGACACCCCTTCCAGGACATGTTCTCTTTCTGTCCCTCAACTCCTCAGGGCCCCTCCAAGGAGCCTCCCCTTTCCATCCAGCCCCACTGAGCTCCCTCTCCTCTGAACACTCACAGTGCTCACGGTCCACACTAGACACAATCGCTGAGTAACCTGCAATGTCTTACCTGCGCTGCCTGTTTCCTTCCCAGCCCAGCCCCAAACCAGCCTCTCTTTGACGGTAAGGATGGGTCTACATACTTTTTTGTCTTCTCCCTAGTTGTCCAGTAAAAGGCGCTCAGTATTTGTTGATTCATCAAAATTGACTGATAGTGATTTGGGGGGGTGGGTAGGAGACAGAGGGGAAGGAGAATGATTAAATTCTAGGTCATCCAGATAATTACTTGGATTGATCACTTCTGGTCCTCCACTGCCCTCCTGCTCCCGACCACTTTACCTGCAGAACTGAACCTCCTGGTCAAACTGCGAGTTCTCAGGCTGCGTGCCCTCCTTCAGCTGGCTGACGTTGAAAAAGGAGAGGGTGTGGTTGACAAAGCCGTGCAGGGTCCCGTTGTGACTGTAGGAGTACTGGTACACCAGGCGGGGGATGAAGTCGGAGGTGACGGCGATGACAAAGGCCTGGGGGCAGAACCGCAAGCACCCGAGGAATGGTCAGGGTGGGTGCTCCTGGGGGGCACAGCTGCGTCCGGCTAAGAGGCTGTCCCCACCCACCTGGGCTCCCCCCCGCAGAGACGCTGCTCTGACTGACACAGAGTCCTCTCCCCTGAGCTCATGCAGCTCACTTCCCTGGCTCTCCCATCCTGGACATGCCTAAGGAAACCCACAAGGCAGCGGCCATCACGAGAGCAAATTGCAACCACCGTAGCAAAGGACGCTCAGTCAGTTTGGACCATGGGGTGCGGGAGGTGTAAATCACCTCTGAGGTGTTTGAATGGACGCTGGCATCGGCCACGCCAAAGCGGAGTGGAAGATTTTCTGAGAAAATGACCGACAGTGATGAGCGTGCCCCGTACGTGTGACAGGCAAGGACACTGAACGACCAAGGTCATCTAGTCCTGAGTGACCCCAGAAGGCCAGGAGTACCAAGGCTGTGGTCCCACAGTCAACCCCAATCTGCCACCATCTCTCAGCCCTCGTGAGCACATATGCAACGAAATCGTCCTCTTGTCCATTTTTCTTAGAAGAAGTGAGACACGGAGAGGGAAGGGGGGGTCCTGCCGGATGGAACCACACAACCCCGACGTAGTGCCCGGCACACCTAAGTGCTCTGTAAGTGTCCATGGCGCGAACCAAATGACACATGAATGATGGCCTGTTTGAATGTGGGGGGACCTCCTGCCAAGAAAATCTTAAATCTTTTTGGCAGGTGTCTACACTGTCCTCCGCACCGACAATTAAAGCCCTTTAAACAATGAAGTTTTGGTAGTTTTCTTCATGTGTACTTGAGTGTCCATGGCTGTCACCACTTCTGAGAATGGGGCGCTTACTTATAACCACAGCTGCAACCCCCTTAGGACTTGCCACGTGTCCTTCCGTCATCCAGCTTAACTTCCAGAATGATCCTGTTTGGTGAGGACCAGCAACTCCCTCCCATTTTTACAGAGCAGTAAAGAAGTCCTAGGCCAGGGAAGGTAAACGTCCTGTCATTGTGTTGTCAAGAGGAAAAGGGCTTGGTACTCAGGGCCTCTTTTCTAGAAGATTCCAAAGTAGCTACGGGGAGGGAGGGTAGAGCCCAGTGGTAGAGCGCGTGCTTAGCATACACAAGGTCCTGGGTTCAGTCCCCAGTGCCTCCTCTAAGAATAAATAAATAAATAAACCTAAGGAAAAAGAGAAGTAGCCACAGATCCGTGTTCCAAACGGCACCCGGCTTCTCAGCCCTGAGGTGCGTGCTTCCTGCGTCAAACGCTCCAAACGGGACAGGCTGACCCCCTCTGCCTGTCCTCACGCCCCTGCCACCTGGCGTGTTCCGAGCAGGGAGCCACGGCCGGCGTCAGCGCTTCTCTCGCAGTGGGAAAAGGGCTCTGGCTCTCTTGATGTGCGACGAGGGGGCTGAGACTTTCTTGGGAGGTGGAAGAGGGGGCCCCGCCGGGCCACGGAATGCAGATGCCAAAGGAGCTGCTGGCTCGGGCCCAGCAAGAGGTCCTCGGAAAAGTGGTCCCACCCAGCAAGGCAGCGGAGGAGGGCGGAGCAGGCAGGACCCCGCTCTTCCAGGTCCTATCTGAACCTGCACAGTCCCCGGGGATAATTCGGACTTCACGCTGACAACTCGGAGGGGCTGTAATTAGGAGCTGCAGCCTGGCCCGGGCTCCAGGTGCGGTGTGTCCGGAGCAGAAGAAGAAAGGAGAGAGATGGACAGGTATGTGGAATTCCTTCCTCATTATCCTTGGCTCCGAGGAAAGATCTGATGTGGACTCTTACGGCCGAGGCATGCATTCTGGCGGGTAACTACCTTTCTTTCTCTCAGTGACATGAACGGCAAGGCTGCACAGTCTGGCGACAGTGTGGCGAGTTTGAAGACAGGTACGCACTACTACTGGGGGGTGGGGGCGGCTGCCTTAGCCAGAGCTCCAGATGGAAGGGTCTGGGGGGTTACAGGACTGCCTTCCTGCTCTGAAGACCTCAGCTCCTCTGGAAAGCCCTTTCCACAGAGCAAGGGTGTCACGAGTGCAAACACTTACATTGCTGATAACAGAGAACTTGCCGATTCCGGACAGGATGTCAAACCAAATCCCTGTGAGACAGAAAAGAAGGGCGTCTGGCTCGCTTCAGCCCTCGGCCCAGTGATGACAAGGCCGCGGCTCAGAGCGACGCTCTGCAGGCGAGTTACCAGCGCGGCCCCGCCGGGCGCCCCAGGATGGGCTTGTCTGGACGGGCCCAGGTGCCCCGCTGCCTGGAAACCCGGGGGCAAGTGGGGGTGCAGAACGTGGCCTCCAAAGGCCTCCGTGCACCTGAGGATGCGAGGGTGAGGGGGTGACGAAGCAAAGGAACTCCCCAGCCCTCTTGATTCCTGCCAGAAGGTGGGGTGGGCGGGTTAGGGGACGGGGGGAGGGTCGGAGGGAGGGCCGGGGATGGGCTGCGGTGGCCTCGGAGCAGGGCACGTACCGATGTCTTTGGTTCTCACGGCATCTGGCCGCCTCAGCTCCGTGACGAACTTCTTGGCATCGAGCCGCACTTCGATGACGTTGTTGAGGAGGGCAAACACGGGCGCCAGAGGGAAGGAGGCCACAAAGAGGGTGACAAAGCCAAACTGGATGACTGAGAGAGAGAGAGAGAGAGCAGGCTTTAGACACCCCGCGCCCTGCGGCTCTGGCGCCCGTCTTTTCTGCCCAGGGTCCCTCTGTGTGTCCTCACGGGAGGGCACAGCTCCGCGTGGGCGAGGAGCGGCGAGAAAAGGCCAAGCCTTGCCTCTTTCCACCCCTTCACCTTTTATCTCCAGGCACCAGTCCCGGCCCCTGAACTCAGAGGTCGACAAACTTCTTCGGCCAAGGTCCAGAGAGTAAAATTTTTTTTAATTGAACTTTCATTGATTTATCATATGGTGTTAGTTTCAAGTGTACAGCAATGCGACTCAGTGATTCATGTACATGTATTTGTTCACATGTATACACTTTTTCGGATTCTTTTCAAGTAATTATAAGATATTGAATATAGCTCCCTGTGCTGTACAGCAGGTCCTTGCTGTTTATCTATTTTATGTACAACAGTTTGTGTCTGTTGATCCCAAATCCCTAATTAATCACTCTCCTGCCCCTTTGCCCTTAGGTAACCGTAAGTTTGTTTTCTGTGTCTGTGAGTCTGTTTCTGTTCTGTAAATAAGTTAATTTGTATTATTTTTTGTATTATTTTTCGATTTCACATATAAGTGATGTCATATATCTGTCTTTCTCTGACTGACTTCACCTAATACCATGATCTCTAGGTCTGTCCATGCTGCTGCAAATAGCATGATTTCATTCTTCTTTCCGGCTGAGCAGAGAGTAACTATTTTTCTGTTTGCAGGCCATATGGTCTCGTCATGATGTAACTCGGCCACTGTAGAGTGAGAGCAGCTGTAGACAACGTGGACCAACAGCCTTGGTTGTTTTCCAGTAAAACTTTATTTACAAAAGCAGTAAATAAAGTGGGCTGGATTCGCTGGCCAACCCCTGACTGTCTCTTAAAAACCATCTTCCAAATGTGGCCTCTTCTTTCCCTACCTGCAGTCACTGCCTTTATTTAGAAAGTGGACTCATTCATCACACCTTTATTGAGAGCGCACGGAATGTCAGGCCCTGTGCCAAGTATTTCAGGAGGCAAAGGTCTGGACCTGCCTTCCACGAGCGGGGAGTAAAAGCAGAAAGGAGAAATGTACAAAGATGCGCAGCGGGACGTCTGTGTGTCAGGAGAGAAGGAAGAATGTGCTGGAGAAGTGGGGGCCAGAAGGGGAGAGCTCGAGCCCACTCAGGGTGGGGACTAAGGGGCATCGCCGTGTGGACACCTGAGCTTAGCCCTGAAGGAGGGCCTGTCCTTCCAGGCTGAGAGCATCCCAAGCCCAGAAGGAGGGCAGGCAAAGGAGTGGAGGCGGCCGGTGCCCATCAGATGGCTGCAAGGAGTCCAGGCCCCCGCCCTTTCTACCTGGACCACTGCCACCACCTCCCACCTGGTCTCCTTGTCCCTGGTCTTCACACCCTTCTGCATCAGTTCAGCCCCAGCTCCCCAGTGATCTGACCCCGTCACCTATCTACTCATAAGCATTTCTGTGGGCTCCCCTCTTTACTGCATAGAATCCAGATTCCTGTATTGGGATACAGGTACTTGACAATCTGCTCCCAACCTGTCTCTCTAGTGGGAGTCCTGCCTCCCAATGTAACAGGAAGAGCAAATGTGTCTCCATGTTAGATCTGTTCCTTTAGCTCTAACCCTGTGCTTGGCCAAGCTGCTTCTGCACCTTTTGTAGAAGAATGTCACCTGTAGCCTGAAATAGATAGGCTAGCCATTCTCAAGGCTCTGAGCTTTAAGGGTGTAACATTTTCCCATTCACATAGACATAAAAAACTGCGGAACAGAGAGTAACACTTGCCTTGTTGGAGGGTTACGGGGATGCCGTGACCTGACCTGGCTGGACAGCTGCAAGAACAAAGGATTCTGACACCAAGAAGTTTTGCAACAACCAGTCACACTCCCTCCCCTTTTCAGTTATAAAAGGAGCCCGAATTCTAACTCAGATAAGATGATTCTCCAGGACATTAGCCCCCACCTTGTTGGTCTGCTGGCTTTTCAAATAGTCGTTATTCCTTGCCCCAGCGTTTTGTCTCCTGATTTATTGGCTGCTGTGCGGCGAGCAGATCGAGTTTGGAGTCTGTAAGACCAACAGCTCCACCTTCCAGCACTCTGAGCATCCCACCCTCCGGATTTCTCCCCAAACACATCAGCGTCCTCCAGTCGCTGGGGCATAAGCACCAATCTGCAGCCAGCCAGCAAACTTCTCTGCTGCCCAAGAACATTCAAATGCCATCCCCTTGATGAAAGCCATTATCCCCTCCTCCACCTCCCGCACCCTCCGTTACAGCCACCACTGCTGCTGCTGTGATCAGTCTACCCACGTGCCTTTATTTCCCCCGAGGAAGGCAGGGCTTCATCCAGCGTCGGGGCTCAGGACGTATGTGCTGATGCAAATTCAGTCCTGAGTCTCAGGAAAGCCAGTCTCTTAGGACTTCCCTGTTTACTAAATTATTTACCTTCCCTGTGTCTTAGTTAACTTCAGTTGTAAGTTGTGGAAAATAATAATAGGCTGTCCTGAGGGTAAATGATACTGCACATATAAAGCGGTCAGAGAAACGTCACTTAATAATTGCTCCATAATGGCAGGCGTGCCGTGCACTGCTGCGCTTCCTGGAGTCCACAGCAGCGAGCACGGCGTCTGTCTGCAACGGACACAAATTTAAGGTGGGTGTGAACGCTGTATAAGAGTCAGGAGGCCTGACCTCCAGCCCTGGATACGTTTCTCAGCAGCCACAGTTCCCTGGGCAAGTCTCTCTGCGTCAGCGGGCTTCAGCATCCTTGTCAGACCGGGTTAAATTCCCTTCAGGTCTGATTTGCTGTGATGCTGTGGGTCTCATTCTCTGGGACAAGCTTCAAGATCCTAGGACATCCAAATAAAGAATGAAGAACCAGGCTCCAAACTTCAAATTAATTAATTAAAATAAAGTGTTCAAAGAGGATTAAGCCTAACCACAGTCGAAGTTTCAAGACAGAGAACATGCACAGAACCTTCCCGGCACAACTGCTTTTGCCTTGGCAGTTTGCTGGGGCCCCCAGGCATGGGCTCTGGTTCCTGCCGGCCCGGCGGTATCACAGCCGAGGGCCATGGCACCTGGTGGACTTCCCGCAGGCCCAAGGAGACCAGCCACTGCCAGTGGGTGACCAGACACACTGGAAGGCACAGCTCTGTCAAGATCAGGTCCTTGGAATGACTGCCTGGCTAGCTAGTTGGCCGAAGGGGAGAAGAAATCTTCAAACACAAGCTCTGGGAACGAGTTCAAAACGCAAGGTCTATTCCATCTTTTAAACAAGGCTTTGCTGCGGAATTCACTCAGAGTCAGGGGTGGGGCGAGGGCAAGCGGGGGTGGGGAGGAATTAACGAGGAAAGCAAAACAGATGTCAGACTAGTTCTCTGAAACCTGCAAAATGCATGTCTGTATTTACATACAGACATGAACGTATCTTTATCGGTGGAGCTCTAAGTGGGTCTTCTTGAGTCCAGTGAGCCCAGGTCTACAGAGCAAATGTGCTAAGTGACTTCCCCCAGCAGAACGGCTTAAACTCTCCAAAGCCTCCATGAGAACTTTGCAAGGAGACTGACGGGGAGGAAAGGGGCAAGTGACCTCCGAGCGACCATACGTGCATCTGGAATGCCTCCCCCACGCTCACGCGAACGGCACTGAGAAATCCAGCGTCCTGCCAGGATCACGGAAAAAGAGAACTTTCCACTTACTCCCCTTCCTTTCACATTAATTCCAGCGGCAGAGATGAACCCTCTCCTCTGGGGCTGCCTGGATGGTGTGCTGCTTCACCTTCGAAAACTCTCCAGACACAGGGTCCCTGGGTCCCTCTCTATGGACACAAACAATGCCCAGTGGTGACTCAATGCTAATAGGGCCCAGAAAGCATCCCAACCCCTAACACTTCTCGTCCACGTCCCCTTGCCAGAGACGTCTGTGTGTCCGGCGCTGGACAGCCTTAGGAGAGTGGACTCAGCCATGGCCAGTGACGGCACGCGCCCGTCCCTCCTCTGTTGTTACTCCAGGCTGCCCTGGCCTGAGAGAAGCCACTCTCTGAAGATGCGCCATTGCTGCAGGTGTTGCCTGCTTGGACTGGGTATGCGGCGTATTTCCAGGAATCAACTCAAAGAGGCCAAGACAAATACGCAGCTTTGTTTCCTCTTGAGGAGAAGAAAACATAAAACCATAACCCTCTAGCAGACAAATGCCAAATCCAAGACTTGCTTGTTTTTTAAACATCAAAGGTCTAAGTGCTGTATCAGAGGGGCGTCCTCCTGGGGTCACTTCAGAGGACACAAAGATACCGGTCTTCACCAACACGAGACTGGCTTCTAAAAACAGCCTCCACGAGCTGAGAGCAGGGCCGGAAGCCCTCCGTGAGCCGCGTTAAAGCAGCTGGCCCCGCTTGCCCGGTAACAGATTCAACCTGGCCAAGCCACTTAGGGAGGAATTCACAAGCTGATTTTCAACTAAACCTTCACACGGCCTGCTGGAGAGCGCTCCGGAAAGTCCGAGCTGAAAGCAGGAAGACTGGAAACCCTCGCAGGACAAACCCCGCTGGCTTCTCTTCTCCATCCACAGCGGCCGGCCGGGCTCCTTTAAAAATATGTTAACTACCGACCCTGCGCTGCCCGGTGCTGGAGACAATTAAAGCCTTGGCCTTGGTTACCTGGGCTTAGGTCAACACAGCAAGGAGGAGTGGATTGAACGAAACAAGATGGCATCCAGCGAGGGCAATTCCAGGACAATCTGCTCAAAGAAGAAGATAGCATGTTTGGTACAGAGTGAACCGGCCAGGATGGGTGGAAAACCACTGGATGGAACATGGCTCTGATCTGTTATTCATTTGTTTAAACTGCTTCAGTGACCACAGCAGCCTCCCCCCACGGTCACACACACGCAGACCCACACACCCTCACACACGATGCCGTTCAGATCCCTGGCGTGGCTTTCAGGGCCCTCTGCGATCTGCCCCTCGCTTATTTCTCCAGGTGC